TTTTTTACAAATATGGACTTAATCTCCTTTAAATTTTATAATTCTCTCCTACCTAAAACAATTCCAACAATTTTCACTTGAATTGTACCAACAACAATTCAATGTTCCTATATGAAAACCATTTCATATGTTTATTGATTATAGTCGTCAATTATTATCTACAACTTTATCTTGAATTTATATAAAAATAATTATTTTGTAAAGGTAACCAAATTTTAGAATTATATATATATATATATATATATATATATATATATATATATATATATATATTCATTAGTATTTTTCTTTTATGTGTGATTTAAATGATAGATTGCGTACAATAAGGTTAATAACAAAATATATATAATTATAAAACTTGCATACTAATGGTGTATGAAGCTAGCCTATACACAACATCAGTCCACACAAGACAATTACTTACTAGGCCTGTCCAAGCCTTACCAAAAGGAAGAATATAATGGAAAGGAAGGATAGATATGGAAGGACACAAGGACAACCCAATAGAAAAGTAGAACAATTATCTTGATTCCTATAAGAGTAAACCATGATCTAGCAAGAACACAAGATTTAATAATATATTAATAAAATGATACAATATCTAATATAACATTGTCATGGTCTTCCTTTTCCTTCCTATTAATAACAATTCCTCTCAACACTCCATGCAAGTGTTCGTGACTCACTTCAATCTCTCATTCTCTCTAATAAAGACATCTCTATCTCTATCTTCCCAGCTCTTTCCCACTAAGACGAATTGTCTTTCTTTTTACACAGCAATTTAACTTGATCATTGGAACTTGCTCCCGGGCATAATCCCTACGGCAAGTTTAACAATCCCTTTCATGTTGTTGCACATTTTAGCAAGGGTTGAAGGTGTACCACCACCAAGGGGTCATGGGGTGTGACGTGACCTCGATATTGTCTCGTTAATATCACACTCCTTAAAGTACATTTTAATGTATAATACATATTCTAAATAAATAACATGTACTTATATTATAAATATTTTAAAGTACATTTTAATGTATAATATATATTTTAAATAAATAATATGTATCTATATTATAAATAAAGTATGTATATATCCAAATCCGAAAATCTTCATTTAGGAATATCAAATATCAGTGATTTTCAATCATACATTACTATTTAAGCTATTATATCATAATAATATCATAAGAATTTATGTTGTGTACCCCCTTTTCTCTCTCTCTCTCTCTCTCTCTCTCTCTCTCTCTCTATATATATATATATATATATATATATATATATATATATATATATATATATATATTGTCAGGATCATTTACGAATTCAGATTTTCCGGCGAACAACTCTTAAACTGCGAATTTTTTTGTTTAATATTTTTTCTTCAAAAAAAAGTTACATAAAACACATCACTCCTATAGAAACATATTTGCAAAAAGGATCTCATAAAAAGTATGCATATACTAAAGGTGCATATGTGTAAAAACGTTAAAAATTCAGAAAGTTTGTAAAAAATGCACATATGCATGGATGCAACTATCGTATATGTATATTTTTTTCCATTATACTTCTATAGGACCGATTTGCTGCTTTATGTCCTTTTTTTTTACAAAAAATATCACACAAAAAATTTGTATTTTAAAAGTGGTTCGTAGGAAAATATGGGTTTGTAAAATCCTGATCATATATATATATATATATATATATATATATATATATATATATATATATATATATATATATATATATATATATTGACAACCGAGATGTTTTCGTCACTGATCATTACTAGAAAAGAGTAGAAAAAATAAATGTAATAGCTTTACTATTGTAATATTTGATTTTTATTATATAAAAATCAAATATATCATTACATTTATTTGTTAAAACAACTATTAGAATCGAAAATTAATGTCTAAAATGTTGTACCATTTTCTAAACTGGTTAACATGTTTGAAAAGTATTCGCTAACATGATCTCAATGATATAAGATTCATAAAATCCAACTCCAAAGGAAAGATATATGGATTTTATAAAAATAGAAATCAACTGTGTAATTAAAATTAATTGTGTCAAAATGGTACTTAGAAATTGTTGAGTTTTGGATAAAAGTGCAAAATGGAGACTCATAGTACTCCTTACGATAATAACTTTAGGACAAAGAGTGCCTAAAACGAGATTTATATGAGAAAGATATGATTTTTGTAAAATCATTTGTTTTTATCCCTGTTAGGCACAAAAATAGAAGTCAAAACTAGCTAAAGCAACCTAAAGGAGAGTTGGAGTACCCATTGAGATCGTCACATAGATATAAAGAGGGCTTACATTGGAGCTCGCAGAAAGAAGTTATGATTGCGCGAGGAGCACGTTTATGCCCGTTGCACACCTGACACCGGATACAAGTAGATTGCGAGTGATGTGGCCAATTTAGGAAGTGACGTGTGGCCTTCTCTGGATGGAGCCACAATGATCACGCGCGACGCTCTAATATATTTGTGTCACGCGCACCCCAAATCCATGACCATAAATAGAAGGCGTTGCAGATCACTTCTGCACGCCTTCCATTCTCACTCTCTTTGAAAGTTCGAAGCTACTGCCCTTAGAGCAATCCCGAGCCCGATTCCACCCTGCACCAATGGTCTCATGCGACTAGGGTGAGTTCACGGCCTCAATTTCACTATTTGAAATGCTTTACGGAGGAATACATGCTTATCAAATTGTTTTATCAAAATATATTTATATCCATGAATATCAATCGTTTTATAAAGCTTAAAGCCTTAGGATAATATAACTATAAATAGTATGCCTAGTTTATTATACCTAAGAGTTATGATGTCTAATAGTCTAGGAAGAGGTAATATCTAGATATTATAATGGCCAAATTCCTAGGATAACTTAGTACCTAGAAGTAATGATGGTAAAATATAGGGATATGCACTGTACCTAATCGTTACTTTGCTTAAATATCCAGTTATCAAATTAACCATAATTAGGGTATTTATATGTATCGCAAAATAAAATATATACATATACATACAAAATAATTATCAGATCTAATAGATATAATTATAAAATCTAAAATTATAAGGGGTTTATATTATGATAATTATAAAATCACTAGGAAAGATAAAAACATAAAATACCTAAGGTTAATTCGTTAGTGAACAGTTAATATTCATCCTTAGCCCGATTAAATTCGGCTACGCCGATACTTGTAATCGTTAATTATGCGAGAGTTAGGAAGATATGTATAGATCTATATGGGGATTAACACTCCCACCTATGATTTCTAGCTACAATCCCGACAGTATAACTTTCTTATTAATCACTATTCAACATCTGATGAAGTGTTATGGTGGGGAAATCATAGTGTCGATTATGGTGGCTCATGGTAATACATTACAACCACCTTATAGATCCAACTACCATTAGGTACGCCTTAGAATGATAGATAAAATATGTTAGGATTAGTTAATTATCCTACAAAGATAGTAAATTAGGATTAATAAAACATCCCAATAGTTAATAAGATAGGTCATTAGATATCCTCAAAAGATAGTAAGTTTGGGTTGATAAAATATATAAGAAATGTTTTTCTAAAAGAAAAAGGATTCTTAATTTAATACAACCAAATAAACTATAAAACATGTGTACTCACCAACATTATGTTGACGTTTTCAAAAATAAATGTATTCTCAGAGAGATGAGTGTGGAGGATAGTCGTGTCGAGGAGGAGGTTTTCAAGGAAGCTTGATGGAGTTTAGTTTATTCTATTTTTCGTTTCTAGTTATGTTTAGGATGTGTGCTTGACCATTTCAAACAATGTAATCCCAAATAAATTATAATAAATAAAAGTATCGATAATGATATACTTTTGTGTTATGTTATATATATATATATATATATATATATATATATATATGTCTCGATCTAATTTCCCCAACGTGGCACCACCCGGCATTTCCGCCGCCGGTCGGGGGTGTGACACATTGGTACCAGTGTTACAGGTTATAACGAACTAGTAATTCCTTAGGAACTACGATTTAACCTAGGGAATATACTTTGAATTAGTTAAACCTAATAAAAGTGTTATTACTAATTACTGTGTGTATAGACTATTTACAGGAGAGGTGACTACTTTGAAATGTTGCTTAGGTCGCTAAATTTCAGAACGACTATATGCTAAAATGATATTGCCCTCCAACACTTCTCATATTGCTGATCCTTGCTTAATAGTCTTGAAATACAAAAAACATAGAATTAATAAAATACCCTTATCAAACACTAATCAGATAAAGAGTTATACAAACTCTTGTAAATACACCTTTTTATTATAAAAAACTATCCATGTAAATCACAACTTAAGAATTTAGGTCAAAATCGAACCCTACGGGTAGTCTAGTATTGCAGTCGTACCACAACTAGATCTAGAATGTGCAACTAATTTTTATTAAGGTTCGATTGACGCACGCCTAAACCTAAATGCCATAGTGTACAATCTAAACGCTTGAATGGATCAGCAGTTTAGTTCGCTTAGTTAAGAGATTAAGACGAGGCCTACGACTAGAGGATCTTCGGATCAATAGCATAAATCGACTTCCTGAAGAATAAAGCCTTAGATCAAGACCTAATGCAAGAGGATGGTATAGTTTGAGGATATACAGAATAGAGATAGACATACGACATACGTACCAAATGGAAAGTTACCTAAGATATGATACTATCTAATATATATATATATATATATATATATATATATATGTATGTATGTATACATATATATATATATATATATATATATATATATGTGTGTGTGTGTATACACACACTTATAATAGGAAATTATATGTATTATATATTATTTCTCTTAAACCTCTTCTTGTTTGATATCAGAGGCAAGAAATCAAAGCGATACAGAGGATATATGAGACTGGGTGTCGCATTCTTACCCAAAAGAAGATCAAGTGGTGCAACGCACACCTAAGGAAGAGAGCAATTACGATCCAAAGATGCCCCTACCGCCTACCCTAATATCAGTTGATGATGAGCTATTTGAAGATGAAGAAGAGCCCAACGAGAAGGAGGAGCAACCTGGCAAAGAGATCGGTGGAGAACCTGCTGACAGTTCACCCTACCAGATTCATCTTCCCACCAGGATCATGAAGTGACCCAGGAGGAGGACCCTACTGAGTCTGAGTCATCCCCAGAGGTTGTTGCTCCACTTCCTCCATTCTCTGTGAGTATTCATGGTTTGGGACTCAAGACTATAACTACCTTAGAAAGCCCATTCCCAACCCATCCCGCAAGAGGACAGCCTAACAATCATCATCGCCCAGATCATCAAAGAAGACTTTACCCATCCAAAAATGGACTCCACAGGTGGACAAGTGGATCAAGGAGGAGAATATTAGGTTTTATGAGGTCAGAGAGTCCTCCCAGGCACTTAGGCGCGATCCAATTCTAGAGGACCCCACGAATAGAGCGATCTCAGTGTTAGTCTCGCGAGTAGCACAACACAAGGATCACATACATTAGGTGGAAGAGGATGGTGACTCGCTGAGGAGGGAGGTTAGGTTGTTAGCTGGTAGAGTTAGGGAGTTAGAGAAAGTGAGAGATTTTAACGAGGTGAGGATCCTCCACACATACGATCATCCGGAGGATACCCATTCTCTAGTACAGTATCAACAAATCATGATTGGGAGTCTTGAGTAGCATGTGAAGGAGACGGAGTTGAGATTGGTCATGTCAGAGATAGGTACAACCATTATGGATGTTATGATCAGTTGTCTTCAGCACCAATTAACACAGATAATGGCTTGGAAGATAGTTTGTTTTGGGTTGTAGTAGATAGTTCTAGCCAAGGAAAGCTAGGAACTATGATTTTTGGGTTTGAGGGAAGGAAAAGTAGTGTAGCAGATAATAGGAAACTGCTACGTCTTTTGCTTGTAAAACAGATGGTTTTCCTGTTTAAACTAAACCATTATACACTCTTTTGGAAAAACTGATGTAAAAATTTGTTGAAGTTAATGAAAATGATGTGATCTTATTGTATATTGTGTTACTTGATTGATTTGTTTTCTTGATATAGTTAATTCTCTTAAATAAATTACTAAAGTAAAACTAAAAATTTATCATACCAACTAACATATTCCATAAATTTAGAATCATGCCTCGAACAAGGAGAAACCAAGGACAACCCAAAACCAATCCCGAGCCTATGAGCTCAACCGCGATTAAGGAATTAGTAGCCCAACATGTAGTTGATGCAATAGAAAATGTAGAAACATTTAGGAACTTAGGACCAGGAGGCAATGGAGGTAAGAGTTCATAAGGAGATAATCGAGGTCCAACCAGAGTCTGTTTATATAAAGATTTTATGAACTATAAGCCAAAACCCTTCCATGGAAACGAAGGCATATTTGGGTTGACTAGGTGGATGGAAAATATGGAGTCTGTTTTTTGAGATTAGCTTCTATCTTGAGGATGTAAAATTAAGTTCGTCGTCTGCACCCTGGCAGACACAACCCTAAGCTAGTGGACCAGCTACCAAAGACCATAGGTGTTAATGTAGAAAATGCCATGTCTTGGAGTGAGTTAAAGAAACTCATGATTGAGGAGTACTGTCCACAAGAGGAGATGTAGAAGCTGGAGCAGGATCTATGGAATATGATGATGTAGGAAGTTGATGTTGCTATCTATAGAAGTCATTTCAATGACCTTTCCACCTTATGTATCGGGATGGTCACCCAGGAATATAAGAAGATAAATAGGTATATTTGGGGGTTGCCTCAGCCTATCCAAGGCTTAGTCACTGCCTTAAAGCCAACCACCTTCAACAGCATCAAAAGCCTAGCCTTTAGTTTGACCAATCAAGAGATTGTCGTGACATGATGGTTCAGAAGGTTGGACTTCCAAATGTGAAGGGTAGAAAAAGGAAGTTTGGAAATGAGTCCAAAAGGAAGGCTATACATTCAACATAAAAGAAGCAGGAAGTGATTTAGGCGTTTACGGTTACAACAACCTCGACAAAAGTAACCCTAGATGCAATGAGTGTGGGTTTCATCACAATGGAGCATGTTGGATTTACACTAACTGCAGAAAGAAATGTCATATTTCCAACGTATGCAAAACCCTACCCAATCGAGGAACCGTAACAACGGAAATTCGAGCGCCGTATGAGTGTATAGAAGTAGGACATGTAACATTCGATTTTAAGGTATTTTCATTTCAATCCTTGGCCTATTTTTAAGATTGCACTATTGGCCCCTTGTTGCTAAAAAATTTCACTTTAGCCCGTACGTTGGGCGTACGTGAGGTACGTGCAGTGTACTTGTGAGAGACCTAGATCGCAGAAGCCATGCTGGTATGTTGGGCATACATGTAGTACGCATGGCATACTAGCTTAACGTCCAAACCCTAATTTTAAGGGTTTTCTCCCTATTTAATCCACCTTATGCCTCCCTTGGATATTCCTTATCATCCAACCTTCCTTCGAAACCCTAATATCGAGTTTAAACTTTGTGTGTGGGAGTTTGGAGCTTATTAGTGATTTTGGTGCTCATTTGTTGAAGATGAAGGCTATTGAAGAAGGACATGTTGCTTGCAAGCTTGTAGATCTAGAAGATACCTCACTTGGTGAATCTTTTGAAGGTATTTTCTACCTTGGTGTGTTTCTTTATAGATCTCAATATATGAGTTTTTATGAACTTTTGTACCAAAGATTGGACTTTGTGAGTATAGAGTACTCCAAAGCATATTAGATGTCCTTTCATGTGTTCTAGGTCTTGTAGATTCATAAAAATGGTTGTTTGATCATTTTCCTTGGCCCATGCATGAGCTAACTGACTTAGAGTGTAATGAAAGTTAGATTGTTGTGCATTGGGCCCTTCCTAGCCATGAAAAGGCTTAAAGTTGGTGACTTTATAGGTTAAGACATTGTATTACGGTCAAATACAAAGTTGGGATAAATTTCTTAATGGATTAAGAAATAAAAGTCGATAAATATGGATCAGGCAGAGTACATCGAGCAGACTCTTTGCTACGCCTCACATAGCCAGGCCCATCCCCGATTGGTCGCTGATTAGAGTTGTACGCCCCGCGTAAGAAGGAGTATGCCCAGGGTACCCGTTGGGTAGTTGACTTTTGCTGACTTTTGACTTTTGGTCAAATCTAGGGTTTTGGACCATTGAAGGGGAAAAATGGTGTTTTTCCCTTGAAGGGATTAGTTGTGGAATTTATACTTGTGAGTTGAGTTGAGGACCTTAATTATTAATTAGGGTTAATTGTTGTGTTATTAGGCGGAGTCTAGTTCTGGCAGTTCAGGTGTGAGATTTATCTGTCATCTGTATCAGGTGAGTCTCCTTACTTATTCTTACATGTGTGGTAGAATAGTTATATTTATGATGACCAGCTGGGTCTAGCTGTTTTATTATGTTGTGTTGCTTATGTGTGACTGAGACTGCGGATAGTCTCCAAGGTCGCTGATAACACACATGGCATGCTGTTTGCCCACTGGGACTGCTCATAGTCCCAGGGTTGCTGATAAAATATAGTTGTTTATTGATGTTGTGTTGTATGGGGTATCTTAGGTAACTCACTAAGATTCATGCTTATAGTTGTTGATATATGTGTTTCAGGTACATCTGAGGATCGCGGGTAGGCGAAGGTCTGATTGTACACTCTCGTAGGGAGATTTGTTACTTGGGGATTCCGTCATACTCTAATATTTTTTTATGATGATTTGTATTTAACACTTATGTTTTTGATGACTTGGTTTATGAAAAATATTTTAGTAATTTAAAAACGAAAAATTTGGTTTAAAATTTGAGATGTTACAATTTGGTATCAGAGCCCTAGTTTGAGGAATTTGGATGAACTCTAGGGTAATTCCAAACTTAAACTAAGGATCTGAAGATTTTCATAAAAACTTTTCATAGAAATGAAGATTTTTATAGGAGAAAAACTCAGTGAAGCAATGTGTACAATCAACCAGAGCTTGATAGTTTCCCAAGATACCTCAATTTATATTATGAGTAGTGTAGAGATGATATTTATGAGCTGATAGAACTGCATGCTAGTTAATGGTAGGCTAAGGATCCTACAAGAATGGTGTGATAGTGTTGCCTGATTTGTGATGCCTTTAGCCTAAGAGTTCGTTATTATGAGATTAAATCTGTCATTGCTATTTGCTTGATGCATGTTGTATAATTGTACATAGTTAGGATTTTATAGCTTTAGAATGACTGATTTAGCCTTTCTTCTTGTTCCTATTTTGTTTTGGATTTGAGGTAGAATCATTTATTCCAATGTCTATCGAGTCTCGTATTGTGTACGATTGGCATGCACGAAGGAAATGGCGAGGAATGTGGAGATCTTGTGAGGCGGAGCAGTGCTGTGGGCAGTCTAGAATTAGTGTCTAAATGCTTAGTCGTGGTTCTAAGAAACCAGCAGGGCCAGTGTACAAATGATCTGGGGAAATAGATTCCTTGTGACTTAGGTTATTGAGAGGATGACTTAAGATGAATACGGGTTGGTGTGGAAGGTAGTATTGGGCCCGTGCTACTGAAAGCACCAGATCCGTACGCGACTCAACAAGGAAGCTTAAGGAACTAACGAACTTGTGGGAGTGTATGGGTATTTATTTATGTGCTTTAGCCTGATTCTGATGGTTTTGTTGTGTGTTTCACTATGGTGGTTAGCAGAGGTTCAGGCTCCAGCGACTCCAAGTGGCCGAGTATCAATGATGATGAGATCCATAGGATTGTTGTCGTCGAGGTGGTTGCAACAATCAGAGGGGATATTACAAAGATGTTTGGTTCTATCAAGACCACGATGATTGAGACTTTTAACGAATGTTATGACGCCATCACTGAGGTTGTTGTTGGCGCAACCACTGCAGCTGTTGCTGTTACGAGACCGTAGGGGGTAATTTGTAATGGTATCCGGAGAATCTGAGGGTTCATTTCACGTTGAACCTGCTTCGCTTTGGAGTGAAGGATTGGTAGAAGTTTGTGATAACTGATTACACCCTTACATAGCATTTTGTAGTGACCTAGGAGAGATTTACTGAGATGTTCAAGGATGAGTTTGTAACCGTGGTTGAGAGAGAGAGAGAGAGAGTTTGGCCTAGGAGTTCCTATCACTCAAGCAGAAGACAGAGATGATGAGTGAGATCACCAGGATATTTCATGAGAGGTACTTGTTCTATCCTAAGAACGTGCCTTCTGAGCAGCCACATGTGATTCTGTATGTGAGTATTTTGAGAAGGGATATCAATGATTTCATGGCGAACACTTCGTACGGGATATTGGCTGAGCTGCAGAACAATTCTAGGAGGAGAGAGTTTGTGCTCGAGACCCAGGCTAGAGAGGATAGGAAGATATTAGTGAGAGATAAGAGGCCACTTTATTTGCATCCGACGACTAAGCGGTCTAAACCCACTCATTCGAGAGTTGGAGGCCAGAAGGGCCGCACTTGCAATAAATGCAGAAAGGGGCATAAGAGGACCTGTCGGACAGGGACGACTTGCTACCTATGTGGCAATATGGGGCATTTGGCTAAGGATTCCCCCAACAGATTATGGGTTAGCTTCAATTGCAACCATACAAGACATATGAGGGTCAAGTGTCCTCATCTTTTATCTAGGGCGGTTCAAACTCCAGCCCCCACGACCCTGCATATTATTGATAGCCGGTAGGAGAAGGCCAAGACACCGATGGCTCGAGGGAGAGTATTTAAGTAGACAACAGAGGAGGCCCATGCAGTTCCATACGTCATGGTTGGTATGTGTTCTTTATTATTCTACTGATTTATTTTGTTTCTTATGTTATTGTTTATGTAGTTACTTTTCTTGAGATTTATGTAACTACACTTGTGTTTTTTTACTTGGTGCGAGTCGGTCTTTTGTGTCAACATCTTTCTATCATGGTTTTAGTATTGTATGGGAGGCCTTGAGCAAACGATTAAGGGTCTCTATACTTGATGAGCATCTGGTCTTCACTACTGACATCTACTGGGGTTATGTGTAAGAGATTTTTGTTGTTGGATATCCGATAGATCTTATCCCTATTGTGATGGGAGAAGTTTGTATGATCGTGGTCATGGATTGGTTGAGTTAGTTTAAGGCTCTAATTGACTATAAGTAGAAGATGATGACGGCTCGAGATCCTAGTGGGAGTACTGACCATCTAGGATGAGGGTACTAGGTCAGGAACAACCTTTTGTTCCACCACAGGGCGAGGCAGAGTTTACAGCATGGGTGTATGGATTATCGGGAATGTGTAGTGGATACTTGGGAGAAATAGAAGGGATCAATTTCAATTTATGATGCTC